ACTTCTGTCCTAGTGCTCTTCCTGCTCATCCATGCTGCTTGAAGCAGACACCCCAAATCTGTGGCCCTTGGATAGAGTTGCTCAACCAGCTGCAATTGAAGAGCTTGAGACCCTCTTTGCACCCTGAGTTATTTAACGTGACTCTGTCTCTTGTAGAGGACTCGTACAGGCAGCCCTACCGTGAGGATCAGTATCCCATAGTGAGGTACCTGCGCCAGCCCATCTTCCTGGAAGTTCAGGTCCTGAACCGCAATGACCCCAGCCTGCACCTGGTGCTGGATGACTGCTGGGCAACGGCCTCCCAGGAGCCAGGATCCCTGCCCCAGTGGAATATTGTTGTAGATGGGTGAGTGCCCCACCACAGAAGTGAAAGCACCTTTGGCAGAGGGTGTGGGGAGTCCTGAATTCTCCCCTGCTCCCTCTTTAGTAAGAGAGCCTTAAGTATGAGGGCCTTCTAAGGGCTGCCCTGGGATGCTGGAATTTGTAGGAAAAGGCAGCACCTCAACCTTGAACTTTAATCTGCTGCTTAAAGGAGTTGACACCAACAACCCAAATCTTTTCTACCCTGAAGTTCTGACTTGGTTTTCATTTATTGGCAGCTGTGAGTATGACCTAGACAGCTACAGGACTGTGTTCCACCCTGTGGGACGTGGTGTCAGCTATGCCAACTATCGCCAAAGGCTGGAAGTGAAGACTTTTGCTTTTGTTTCTGGTGACAAAGCCCTTTCTGGCCTGGTAGGTAACATTGGACTTGGAACAGTAGTGGGAGCAGCTGCTGTTTCAAAAGGAAGAGGTGTCTTACTCCTCTCATTCTGTCCCAGGTGTACTTCCACTGCAGCGTTCTGATCTGCCACCGTTTTCACCCAGACTCCCCATTGTGCATCCCAAGATGCCCAAGGCCATCCAGAAGCAAGAGAGGTAATGTCTGAGTGGATTTTAGGTTGCACTGATCCAAGATAACCCCTTGCACTGCAGGGCTCACCTGTGCTGTGTTTCTGTTGCAGAAAGTGGGATGGCAGCTGTGAACTCTGCTGTGGTGAGCCTGGGGGGCCCTGTCCTCCTTGTGCCAGAAGAGTGGTCTGCAGCCCGAGGTACTGAGCCAGGGGGTGCTGGGGGGTGTTGTTTGGGCTTAGTTTGTGGAGACAGATCCTCACTAACTGCCCTTCCCTTTGATTTGCAGGGAGCGCTCTCCTGAGCAAGGAGGCATGGGCTGGCATTGCAATGATTGCTGTTCTCTCTCTGGCCACAATGCTGCTATTTCTGGCTTTTCTTAAATGCCTAAAGAGAAGAGCATACATGGTAAATGTGATACATTAGTGTGCATTTCCAAATAAAATTGGAGTATTCACTTGGTGAATTCTGTCATGTATTCTCTCTCCTGCATCTAGTTATGCAAATCAACACTGCTCATTCTCTGAATGTCCCCTTACTGTACATTAGTCCTTAACAATTGCTATAATACTTAATTTCCTGAGCATCTTTGTTCTGCGACAGACTATTGCTATGCTAAATTCCTGTTGGACTTTGCAGCCAATTTCCTTTCTTGAATTGCTTATTGTTTAAAATTGTGATTCCATTTAATTGGGTTTTTATAAATCCATGTTGTGCCAGTATCTGCAGGATGAGTAGCTTCTCCAGCTGCTCTTGTAAATATGAGCCCTGCACTGTACCTGGAAAGTAAAACCTGGCTTTATTGAAATTATTTAGCAACACCCAGAACTTGTGTTGCTTTACTGTTAAAACCAAACTAAACTCCTTTGTCCTTATGGGAATCAAATCATTACAAAAGGTCTTTGGAGAAGATGTACAGTAAAGCCTCCCTTTTCTGTGTACAGCAGCCCAGAAGGATACTAGAAAAACTGAAGTGGAACAGATTTCTTGCTGCCAGAGCTGGTCTTCTAATGGCTGGAAGTTCCATTGGCCACCTAATAGGAGCACCAGACATGTGTAATTTGGGGTGACAAAGTTTCTTCCCTCAGACTGGGGGAGGGAAAGTGTGAGTACAGCTAAAGCTGTCTTGTCTGCAACACTGACAGCACTGTCTGTAGCTGTAATGCTGCCACCTGAGGTGAGGCAGCTTTTCATGCTGTTCTTATTTTGTATTTTGTACATGTTGCCTTGCATAGTCAAGGAAATGAGGCATAAAATATAATTGCATGTGACAGAGTGAAAGTGCTTTGCTGTAGTAGGAGTGTAACAGCCTTAGGTTAAACATTGTCTGGTAATTTTGTGTGAGCAGGGAGAGTGGGTATCACAAGTCCAGCTCTGTGCTCTGAGTGTGCAGTTTCAGGTCAAGTCAGTGTCCAACATGCTGTCCACAAACAGCACAGGCTGTGGGCTTGTCTGTCACAGCCCCTACTTCACTTAGGCATTATTAGTGAGCTGTTATTAATGCAATAGACTTCAGGCTGCAGTTTACAAGTATTAATGTGTATTTCATGCAAAGAGAGCATGGAGTAGAGACCATGATGAACATGGTCATTAGACCTTATGCTAGTACTTAATCAACATTATAATGATATAAAAACAGTGAAACTATGAATCTCACATTAGAGCCACTTAAATAAAAGTCAGTTTCTGTCATTGGCCTGATAGAAGTTAGGGTTGAAAGGATTACTTAAGCTACTGTCCAGCAAACAACCTGCTATACTTAAGTCTTGTTGACTTAGCACTTGGCTGGAATATGAAGTATTTCTGTAAAAGCCAGGTAAGTGGTCCTTGATGAAGAGGGTTTATGTACTTAACTGTATGTTGTACTTCACTGTATGGGCTGTTTAGCTCTTCTGACCCTAATAGGGCTGATCTTAATATTCCTTCTCCATCCTTCTTGTTCTGAAGGGTGGGGAAAAGATCTTTGTGTGTGTTCAGGTAGAAAAGTTTTCTTGTTTCTTATTGGAGTTTGAACCTTTGCTCTAGGATGGTTGGAGTTTACTAAATGTTACAGTGACATGTAAATATGCTAGTTAACATCCCAATAAGCTAAAATATTTTTTCCATATCTTACATATGTGAATCTGCAGACTTGCACTAGTGAAGGTATTTAAAATGACTCAGCTACCTTCTGAATGGGAAGCAGTAAGAGCTTTACTTTTGCTCTTTGACTTCTGTATTTTGTACTATTTTTACTGCCCGAGGAGGTGAAACAAAGAGCTTGTACATACCATCTAGGTCAAAAGGAAGGTTGTCCTTGCCTGGTTTCTGCCCCTGGCTGATATTGTTTGCCTAGGGTAAGACTTCAGATGTGGCATGTGAGAGGAGACCTGTCCTTAGTTTCTGGGGGGTGGTTAACTTTAGTTCTCTCAGGCTGGCTCATTTAATGCTCTTTAGGGACATTGCAGGGGTGCTTTGAATGAAGACCCTTAATTTAAATCAAGGAAAACACAGGATTGTGTTCCTTTTTCTGTACATAATTTACCCTGGAGTCCAGCCACATGCATTCCTTCCCTCATCCTCTGTGTGCTGCTGCCTCTGTCCCCTATTCAAGTGTTATCTGCAAAGTTTAAGTAAAGTACAAATTATTCCTTTGCTGCATTTGGGCAGAGGTTCCTCTCTTCCAACACAGGGCAGGGTGAGGTGGGCATGATGGTGCTGCACAAGAAGGCAGAGGAATTACTCAAGGAACCTGCTGCAGGTGGAGGCAGCATTGACTCTGCACCCTGAGCTCAAGCAGCTGCTTCAGGAGCCATATCACAATTGGTTGCCCCAAGTCTCCTTAGATGTGGGATATTTGGGGGCTCCCAGGCTGTAGGGCCATGAGAGTGGCTGCCTCTTCAGGCATGTGTATGCTTGAAGTAAGGGGCAGGGAACCAGATCTGAGAGCTGAGTAGGCTGAGGAGCTGGTTGGGAATGGGGCCATGGGGTGCGAGTCTCCTGCCAGATTCTTGTGGGGTTGGTGGTGTTCTGCAGAAAGCTGAGAGCAACTGAGAAAAAGGGGACTTGGCAGGATCCTGTCTTGCTAAGGACTTCTTATCTCTACTGCAGTCTTTAATAATTCAAAGAAGAAAACAACCCCTGCCCTCCTTTTAAGGGATGCCTTACTGTCTCCAGTAAAACACCTACTCTATGCTGACCTAGTTTTTTCTTCAGCATCTCTCAACTGAAAATGTTACTCTGCTGATGGCACTGCAGAAAAATGCAGCTCTTGGTGCAAGGACACAGCAAGAAGCCTTGAAATGACAGGCTGATAAGCATGCAAAGGTCAGGGCAGCAGGAGCAGAACTGTTCCAAGTGTACCTGCAGGTAGCTGAGAATTCACAGTTTTAGTTCCTGCTAAGTGCTGAGGACAGAAGGAATTATATAAAGCAAAACACATTTCCAATGCAGAGGGAAATGGTTCATGTTGGGTCAGACTCTGAGTGGGACTGGATGAACTTATTTTAGTGTCTGCTGATTTTACTAAGTAATGCCTCTTCCCTTCAGAAGATGAAGGGAAAGGATTCAGCTGTGTATTTGTGTATGAGCTGTGCTATAAAGATTTTGTGTTGTAACTTGAGGCAGGTGCAATGGCTTTATTGCTCTGCCTTTGGAGGTGCCTCCTGGAATGCTCCTGCAGGCATCCTTGCCTGAGGGCAGGCTGGCTCTGTGGCTTTGTGCTGTTTGCTGAATTAATGTGCCATTAGAAGAAAGGGCTCCTGGAAATCTTTTGGGGATTACTTCACTCTACAGCTAAAGTGTGGGGCCAGCTTAGCCTAAGAGCTGAAACTATTACCATCACTACTTTGTGAAGCACATTACAGCTCAGGTAGGCTCTGTGTCCATGTTTTAGTCAAGGAGCAGGTTGGTTCACGCAAAACTAAATAAAACTAATTTAGACCTTAGATATCTGCATTTCCTTTACAGGCATGAGAAGGGGAGTAATCTGCAGTTTGTGGCTTACCACTATTGACCATATAAAATACTTTATTCAAGGAGAAAACATTAGCTCCAACTGTAGCCTTCCTAAAACAAGATGTGAAAAAAATTGCTTTTACTGTAGAATAAACCAGACTAGTAAGACAATCTGGTTAAACAAACAGCACTTTATTAAACTAAAATAGTTAGATACTTTATGCTTAAAAATATAATATTTGCAAAAATGAAAAAGTTTAAATAACATACACAAAGTTACAACTGAGAAGCAAACCAGGCAATTTAAATACCTAAACAAGACCTAAGCATACCCCTGATATGATGAGGCAATGAGAGTAAGTAAAATATCCCTTTGGAATAACATAACATCTAAAGGGAGAAAAAAAAGCTTTAGACCATGACATATGACAAACCCACTTTTCCCTTTATAATGAACATAAAGCATTGGTGTAATCATTCTATTTTAACAAAGTTTAAGGCTTACAATTATTTTTCCACATTCAAAATGTGTTTCTAATGTTCTGAACTGTGATACTTTTGTATCAAAATGACCACTGCTATGTACTAAAGGGAGTACATTCAGAACTCCAGAATCTGAGAAACCAAATCTCTCCCTCCCCTCTCTGTCCACCTTGCCATTGACTTAACAGTACCAACTATTATTACATCCCTTTACCAAACTCTGTGGAACACTCCATCATGCACATACTCTTACCACTGCACTGCTGCTTCTTGGTTATGTTTAAGATCCCTTTTACAGTGCCAGTGTAAGATGTACACTGATTTTTCTCACTTTCCAGGAGTACACAATGATTGAATGGTTAATGAGTAAACAATTACATAGCAAATGCTGAGCCTGTACAGCTAAGTGCCTATAAAATGGGGAGAAATCTACTTATTCCCTCTTTGCAGTATTGGCAGAAAGATCCAAGCCAGGCTGCTTCTGTGGTAAACTTCCATTAGCATCTTGCTTCCTCATCTGAGCCCTGTGTACATGAGAAAGGAATGGTTTAATTGTCTGTCCTCCCTAAGATTGTCTTTTAAATTTTGCTCAAAAAAGCAGAGCTTTTTGGGATGTCCCAGACAGGTTTATATCTGCTGTTGGTCGACCTAAGCTTCTCTCAAAGACAGAGGAACAAAAAATAGATGGTGTTATCTGGTTTAACATCAAAGCTGTAGTTAAGTGGGGCTGGTGTGTAGGATGGACTGAGCATTTGGATATGCTATGGAAAACAGAAGTCTTCTGGGAGTGGTGGGCAGTGTTGTGGATGTGGCAGCATGCCCTGAAACTGGGCTTTGCACCATGCTTCTGTCACTCTGCTGCCATCTCAGGCAGCTTTATGTGTCCTCATGAGCTGTGCAAACACAGCTGTGCTGAAGGAGCTAACTGAGGAAGCCTACAAGAGAGCAGCTGGGATTTTTCTTCTTGCCATGGCACAGTGATTACTGTGGTTCTTTCCCTGGCAGGTATTTCAGGGGCCACAGGTGGCACTCCTGCTCAGCTGGCTGGCTGAGGCAATGCTGACTGAAATGGGTCTCCAAAGTCCTGAGAGGCACAACTGGCAACTCACACAGTGCACTATCCTACAAAACCTGTTATTTTTATTTTGACCACACTGTCCTTTTTAAGTGCTCCTCTGCCTATCCCAAATCTACAATGAATTTTGTTCTCTTACTCTACAAATGCAGGTAAGCAGAGATAGCTGGGTCATCATGAAGGAAAAACTGCAAAAGGTTCAACTCCTACACAAAATTCAACTTGGCAGTAAATTTTAGTGATGTTTAAAGCAATACATTGGAGTGAGACAAAGGTGTATTTTACTGTCTGATGTCATGTTTTGTTAGCACGGTCACATTTAAAGACCATTTGTGTTTCCTCTGCACCAAACAGGAAAAAGGGCATGAATTAATGCTCATTTGAGTACCTATCAATGACCAGACAGCTGCATGCTGCATTTTCAGTCATGGGGGTAGCCTAAGATTCAAAGCATTCAAGAAACATTGGTGAACTAAGCAACAATGGCTCATTTAGGAAAAAACATGAAGCAATGAATGCAGAGTTGCAGAGTGTGAAATCCAAGCATGGATCAAGGACATCCATACTCACCTTGATGCACACCAGTAGTTGACCAGAGTTGAAAGTGCAACATAAGAAACACTCAGCACTCCAGAAACTCCCAGGGACAGGGCTCCCAGGCCACACAGCACACACAGGAGGGCTATGCCCCCTATGGCTATGACAACACCTAAAAAACATCACTCGGTTACTTAAACAAGTCTGTGTACAAATAGAGGAGCTGACATTCTACCATAACCCCAATTTAAAACAATTTGGGAAGACCATCCTCCTCACTCATCTGGGTAGCTTCCTTAAAAGCTATGCATGCTCAAGATAACTGGTTTAGGCATATCCTCGTGGCTGGGATTAGAAAGGAAAATAGGATTCCCCCTGTATAGACTACACTTAATTAGATTACTATTCTTGTAATAAGGGTTTTACTATGGCTGAGACTTGAAGACTACACACAGAAATCCTCAATTGCTAGGACTCAGACTTCCAGAAGCAAAAATTAAAAAGGAAAAAGATAACATGAATTAAAAGGGAATAGGTTAAGTACATCCATGAATGCATACAGTACCTTCCATGACTATCACACCAATACAGGCCATTACAGCTGTTGTAACAACAAAAACCAGGAAAAATCCAACAGGAACAGCTGACACTGCAATAAACATCAGGAGTGATAAGGCAACAAAAGGATGGTCATCCAAATATTGGCCAACACGAGAATTCATAAAGGCAACAACCTGCAAATGAAAGAAAAATGTTTTAGATTTTTTTTTAATCTCTTGTCACAGATACCTTTCACAGATCACTGCTGCTGTAGTGAACCACAGGCAGGATAGATTAGCAGCTGGAAGAGGGAGCACCTCTTGCCTCCTTGTTTAAAAAGCATGGGGCCTTGCTCTACTATCTCAAAGGGTTATGCCAGTAAAACACAAAAATGCAAAACAGGCTTTCCTCTTTCTTGACTGAAGGTGTGGGAGGATAGACCTTCCCATAGGCCTTACAGTGTTCATTTAAAAAATAGGGAGTGCATTTAAATAAACCAGGGTGTGATATCCTGATAGTTACAAAAGGAATAGCTTTATAAACATATAAAATTACAATCCAGACCCACATTTGCGTTGCTGTGGATGGTCTGCACCACGGAGTGCCATTGCTTCTGTAGTTCCTGCATTTCTTTAGACATGTTATTAATCCTCAGCCACGACCTCTTCCGAACAGCCAGTTCTCACTCTGCCATCCAAATTCCCTTAAAATTAAGGTACAATTAGTAACAGGCTCATACAGATGCTTTGTGAAAATGTTTCCTTTGTATAAAGAGAGAATGCAGGTTTCAGCTGAAGTGATACACAGTCTAAATCATTACTTTTACAAAAGCACATCTAATGTAGAGGGCTTGTCCCTGCAAGCTCTTCTGAAACTCCCACAGCCAAGTAGCAAGACACAGGTGACTCTTACCTTCTTCCTTTGTAACATTAACCCTGTGCTTACCTGTCAGGGTATTCACTTACCAGTAAAAACATCACTTCTAACCACTGGCATGGACAATTTGTTGCTAAGCGTTCTGGAAACCAGTGACACACTAATGACACTCATTTCTGTGAGTATCCTTGTGCTCAGCATTGAGAGCATACCCTACACAGCTTCAAAACTCGGCGCATTAGGGCAAAATCTTTCAGACGCTCTGCACATATTGAATTTTGTCAGTTTCAGGGAATTTCAGACACATTCAATCTCCCTGAAAATTTCCAGCTGTTGTTGCAGGAGGATCCTTACAAGGGGCAGGTTAAAGGATGCATTTTGCTGTTTGCTACCCCGAGCAGCCAGGGCCCCTGCCGTGCCCCCGCACAGACACGGGCACTCCCGGGCACATTGTCACACACTGTCACACACGGCGGGTGAGCCCCGGCAGCGCCGGGCAGGAGCTGCCCGCGGGGCGCGCCCGAGCCCGGGCGTTACCTCGGCCACCGCCCGCGGCCTGCACCGGCACCCAGCACCGCGGCCAGGGCACAGCGCTCACCCCCAGTCACCGCTGCAGCCACCCCCCGAACCAGCGCCCCGGACCGACAGCGGCTCCCCGGCGTGTGTCCCCTGCAGGTAATGGGGGACACGGCCCCGCTCCCGCAGCGCTACCGGGCTGCGGCCCTCCCGCCCAGCCGGGCAGAGCCGGAGTCCGGACTGGCGGAGCGGGGCGGCGCCGGCCCCGGCAATGTCCCCCTCACCTGCGGCTGCCGCCCGCCGGACCGCGGCCCCGCTCGGCCGCTCGCCCCCGGCTGCCGGGCCTGCCGGGCTGGGGCAACGCCGCTCTCCCGCCGCTGTCTCCTCCCCGCGGGGGCCGGGCAGGGCCCGCCTGTGGCGGCGCAGCGCGGCCGTGGGCGTGCAGCGCTCGGATCGGGCTGCAAAGGCCGCTGGTGCTTGCGGCGGTGCTTGATGCCCCTCGGGCGTCCTGTCGCGTCCCCCTTGCTGTCCTGCCCTTCACCCCGGCCCTACCTCAGCCGCTCAGTCCGGGCACCCTCATGAGTGTCCGTCCTAGAGGTTTGTGTTGGTTTAGGACATGCAGCCTGGAGCTTTTTGGAATGGAGGCCGGGAAATGAGGGTATCTGCGGTCTCCGTGCCGCTGTGGAGGCGTGCAGAGGCTGCTCGGCCCCGGTGGCAGCAGTCGCTCCGTGGGTGTCTGCAGTGCCTCCGTCCCCAGGCTGGCAGGCAGGGAGCTGGGAGTGCTCGGTGGCGCCGTGAGGAGAAACAGCCGCTGTGGGACGCCTCACCCGGCTCCAGCGCCTTCCCCCGTCCCGGTGGCTGTTCCCACACGGTCCCACCTTGTCCTGCTGCCTCCCGGTGTTTTGGTGCGCACGTGGCAAACCTGTTCGGGGAGATGAGCCATGTGAGGAGCGATTGCGTTAGGAATTCAGCCGGGTTTTCAGCAAAAGCAATGCGGCTGCAGTGCCTCAGCCTTTGGCAGGGACTGTTCTCGGCAGCGATGCTCGTGAGGTGTGTCCCACGATGGTTTGGCCTGGCTGTTCTCCAGAGCCATCATGAGGGTGTGCACAGGCAAGCCTGAGGTTCAGTGAAGTCCCAGCTTCTGCTACACTGATTTTTTTCATGCTGTAAATTACAATCAGAAATGAGTTAAATATTCATGTTTCTCGTCCCAGCTTTAATCGTTTAATTGGTGCCACCTATGAGGGTATTACAAAATGGATGTTAACGGTTTCATGATTATTTTTTTAAAGGCAACAAAATAAACAGCGTGTTTCATTTGGAAATTAATGCAAAAAGAGGTTTTATGAAGTATGGGGGGTTAGATTTATCAGACTGTTGGAGTTCTGTGTCTTTGAGGTGCTGATTTCAATGATCTCTGCAGATACCAGGATTTCTGTAGACAGAGGGAATAGGATTTCCATATTAACACATATCTGAACTGTGTGGAGTCTAAAAGCCTAGCACAAGATAGCTGCAAGAAGAGGATGGTCAAGGCAAGTGTATTTTGCTTAAGCTCTTACTGTCTTCATCTCTCATATTATTAAAGTGCATAGTGGATTGCTATTCCTGGTACACTAGGGTATGTCATAATAAATTTGTTGGTTTGTATACTTTTTAAAAAAGTGAACATAGGGAAAACTTACTGGCAGAATTGCAGAGTGACATAACTCAGTGATAATGGCACTATAAAGTTTAATGGAGCTGAGTTTAAAGTATACTGGAGATTTTAAATTTCTGGCTGTTTTCAAGCTGCAGTTTTGAAGATAGTCTCATACTTCTTAGTAAATTATTTTCTTGCTATGCATAATTATCTCTACTGCTAAAAATTCATATATAATCTTTCTCTATACAAAACAACTGGTTTTAATGTTTTTCAAGCAGCAGAGATAAGTTATTCAACTTAGAAGGGCATGCATATATGAGCATCCAAGTTGATGTGCACAGAGGAACAGTAGTTACTCTTAACTGCTGCTTAATTGAGCTTGTCTTCATGCCAGTGTCAGCTCCAATTAGCAGGAAAATACTCATGTTGCAAACCAGCACTGAAGTATTTGGAGATTTGCAGCACACATTAGCCAAGCAATTAGCAGCAGCAGCAGTGCTGATTTTGTACCCTGCACTGCTGGCCCGTGTTTAAAGAACAGTGGCCAACAACAATGTTCCACTTGTAGGTGATATAAGGGCAAGGCATAAGGAAAGCTGTGCTGTTAACTCAGGGATATCAGCCATTCTCACAGCTCACAGAAAATTGGATGAAAAATAGCAAAGATGATGGGAAAAGGTTTAAAATTGAACTCTTGTTCAGTTGGTAGAAGGCCCTCTTGAGGGTAGCAATTAAAAGACTATGCTAGATTTCATGCTGGATGGTTGTAATTCCCATTTGTGGAAGAATGTGATGGAAGACTCAGGATGTAGTGATGACTGTGAGTGGGAGGCAAATGTAGACAGGCTTAGAGGAATTGAGACTATCCCACCTGCTGTGTTCACATCTTCATGGAGTTTGATTCTGAATGTTGGAAAAGTGGTAGAGGTGTTTGGACTCTTGAATATTTTTCCCAATTCTTTTTAAGAAAATTTGGGTTTATAAAGCATTTACTGCTCTGGGAGTTCTGTGCAGTGCTTTCATGCAAGAGTTAGAATATCTCAGGTATCTCAGGACTACATTTTTTCATAACTTTTCGAGGTAAAAGGAGCCTGTACAGTTCCTCATTGTTCCACAACTGAATCTCCCTGACCACAGCTTGGCACAACACTGAAAGGGGCTGTTTCCTCTCTGCTGGGGGAGGAGGGAATTCTGTCTCCAAGCACCAGCTATGCTGTAACTGGGGCAACCAAGCTGAGGACTGAAAGGCAGTGTCAGAGCAGTTCACCAGGCTGTGACAGGCAGAGGGACTGGTAACAAGGGTGCCTGCAGGTAGTACCTGCCCTTACCCTTCTCACCTGTTCATCCTGTGGATGGGTGAGGCATGCAGGTGTCCCTCTCCCATTCATTTTGATTTGGGCTTGTTTTTCTTGGCAATTAATGTGTGGTTCTGCTGTAAAACACAGCTGGGGGGCCCAGGGTCCCTGGGACATTAGAAGAGAACAGGCAGCAGGGAGGAAACTGGTGTTGGAGAAAGTGGGAAGGGCAGGGTTTAAGAAAGTCTTGCTTGAAGGATATCTGGGGGCAGTTAGAAAGATAGAGGTGAAAAGTGAGCTTGAGAGGAATGGTGAAAAAAAGATCATGGGGGTTTGGAGGAAGAGAGAGCTTGTTGTTGTAAACAAGGAATGTGAGAGCTGATTTTTCTTCTTCTTGGCAACTGGGATAGAAGCTGATTGACACCTTGTGTAGTACCTGAAATGAACCTCTCATTCTTTTTCAGTGCATGTAACAAGGATGTTCACACTGAGGAAGAGGACCAAAAAATTCTAAGCAAACAGAAAAGTCAAAACAAAATAAAGCCAACAGAGAGCCCGAGTCTCCTGAGGGTGAGTTCTTTCTGCTGTGACTGTGAAAGATCAATAACTTTGTCAAAACTTCAGATGCAATTGGCCATTACTGGTGGTTAGGGGTTTGATATTGCAAGAAGGCTTATTAAAAGACACACGTTCTTGTTAAATATTCTTTGGACTTAATCCTTTATAACATACTTTTTATTAAGGATTTCTTTGTTCAAATATTAGGTATTTGAAATGTTACTTGGCATATAAGTCAGGATTGTTTTAGGATGAACGATGGCTTTTTTAATGACTCTTCTACCTTTAAGAATGAATGAATGGATATCCTAATGAACTGCATCATTTATTCATTTTTAAAGTACCCTAAGGCCCAATCCTTTAGTCATTAATCAAGAGGAATTCATGCTCTCTTTAATGAGTTATGTCTGGCAGTGATAATGCCTTTATTTCTGTGTGTGTGCAGGCATGCTGAGGAATACCAAGGAGGTAAATCAAATCAGTCCTTTCTCAAATTTTATTTCTAAATGGGCTCTACTTTGAGGAGGGCACAATTTTGTCTGCTAGTAACTAGGTTCCAGCAGCCTTGTTTTTCAGTGATACATCAGAAAGCAATAACCATGTGCTGAAAGTGTGTTAAAATTATGTAAAAAATTATATCTTATTCAGCCATGATTGTATTGGGTAATAACTTCCTTTTCCATGGTGGTTTAACTCACCGGTGTTCAGATACAACACACTTCCACCTCCTTTTTCTCAGTGTCACTGTGTGTTCAGGAAATTGTTCTTTGTGAATCTCCTAAACAAGTTTAATTTGGGAAACTCAGAACAGACTATGGGTGAGGCTGTGGCCTATACTAAGGAAGGTTGCCATCCAAAAGCACCTTAAACGCTGTGAGGTTTAATAATTTTGGGAATATATCCTGACAGAACTTTGTATGGCATCCTGGAGGCCATGTCAAAGTATTATCACCTTGAAGAGGTGAAACAGTCCTAAAACATGTCAGATATCCTGACATTTGTAGTACAACACTTTGCAGAGTACTTGTGAGCAATTTGTTCTCCCAGCACCATCCTGGTAATAGCTTCTTCTATAATTGGCTCCTTGTAGACATTAAAAAAATCTAGATGGTTTTTTTCCCCTCCCCATTAATACAGTTCGCACAACTTGGACTGTTCCACTGTCAATTTGTCAGTCTGGTAGGATTTAACATTCTAATGTCCAGAGTTTGTACTTTTACAAACATGTGGAGTTTCTGGTATAATTTAAAGTATTTAACTAATTTTAGGCAGTTTTCAGGGATATAAAAATAAGATTTTTTTTAAACTGGCATTAACTGGTGTTTAGAAGTTTTATAAAATGACTGCAAAAAACATGTTTTGATGAGGAACCCACCACAAAGAATGGCTGTTTCCTTAAAATTCAAAAAGCTGCCATATGTAATTTTCGATGAAAACTGAAGGACTCTGTTCCTTCTTCATGAATCTTTTTTGAAGCAGAGTATTTCA